TGTACTGTTTTTCCCAGTTTTACGTCCGTCCGCGGATCTATTTTTATCATCTGTCTGGCTGTGCATGCGCACAGATGCGTTTTTTCAAGGAAAAACGTCAAAAACGTACGAAATACTGTGCATAACTTTACGTACGATTTCATACGAATTGATAATGAGGATACGTTGGTTGTTCTCTACTTCAAACACAATTAAGATTTTAAAATGAAAAAACATTCAATTTTTTATATTTTTATTTAAATTTTTAATGTATAACATGGATGCCTAAAAACCTAATTTTATTTCAGTGTTAAAATCGGATTAAAATAATGGATTGATTAAAGTTGAGGTGTCAGTTGGAGTACGGAGTGATTAAAAATCTCTCTGGACCTTTACTGGTTGATTTTTAATTGGTTACCCCTGCTTTAGGGGTTGAAAAAAAATGTTATTTTGCAACACAGAGAGGGGAAAAATATTTTTCAGTTAAGATTCTTAAGTTTGCAGTATCCTGGATATAAAATCCTAATAAATACATTAGATTTAAGTTGAAACAACATGTAAAATACACTTTGGGGTACACTTACTTCCCAAGATGATGTTCCTGCAAACCAGCCTTAAAAGAACGAGGAGTTTGGCCCTATAGATCAGGTCAAAACAGGTAAAGAAGACGTTACATGCAAAGGAAACTGCTGTGTTGTCCCTCCAATTACATCCTCTAACTTCTCCCTTTTTCCTTTGCTTTCCCTCCAGCTTTTTGCCATGGTTTTTGCGATGTGTCTCTTCCGGGGCATCCAATAGAAGTGCTTCGTTTGCAAACTTCTTTTTTTCTTGAACAAAAAGGGAATTCAGGAGAAGAAAGAACAGAAGCGGACATTTGTACATTTGTGGATCTTCTTTTTCTTTATTGTCTAATTGTTTTTTGTTTTGTTTTTTAAAGTACTTCACAGCTGGACTTTTGAGGTACTGGGTGACAAACAGAAAAGCAGACACAGAAACCACTTCAAAAGTTTCAGATTGGTAGAATAATTGGTGGAAGCAGTAATTAGTGGACCAGGTCTGGCACAGACTGGCTGTAAAGCAGGCCGAGGAGGAAGACCGGGTGAAGCCTGAGCAGAAGGCACTGCACTGACTTTTGGATGAAGAATATTTATATAAAGTTGCGCTGGCTTAAAGGAATGGTACACCCAAAACATGATTAGCCTTCATTTTCCACTCACCCCCATGCTGAACAACACTCTGGAG